CCGTGAAGACAAAATAAAGTCCGAAATTTTTTTTTCCCATAATAAAGTAAATTACATTAGCTTTAATTTAAGATATATATAAAAGTGTCAGACTTTTCGGAACACTTTCAAAATTTAAGTTGAAAAAGTTGTCATTTTAAATCCCCCCTTGAGGGCAAGTTAAGAGTTAAATTTATGAAAAAATTATACCAAATGAAAGGTAATGATATTATGCATCTATATAAAAAAGAATTATATTGATATGTTAATTTTTGAAAAAGTTATGGCACTTTTAAGTAAAAAAAATTGAAAAAATGTCGAAAATTAGCGATTTTTAAATTTGTAATTTTTTTTAAGATTTCCCCCATTTATTTAAATGTTTTTCAACTTTTGTGGGTAATGTCTTAGACTAGATACGATTTGTGATCTTTTGACGTATCTTTGAAAGAAATCGGTCCAGTGAGAGCTGAGAAAAAGTGGTAACAGAAAAAAAACACATCATATTGAAATATAGATTATCTTTCATATACAAGTGGTTCCAAAAATCATTTTTCGAATTTATGAAATATTATCTTTTTTTCTTTTCACTAATTTATACAGAAATATTTTTGAGTATTTTCGGTATAGAAATCCGATGCTGTACATTTACGACCATTTTTATACAAGAATTTAAAATGTCTTTGCAGCCCTATAATTTTGAACCCACTTTAGATCTGATCAACATTTATACAAGAAAATTTTATTACCATTTCTTACTCAGAATTATATGTATTAGGACGATCGAGGAACAAATATAACAATTGGTGTCACGTCGAACTTCAAACAGAGTACGACGAAGTGTTTTCATTGAATTATTCTATTATTAATATTATATTAAGGATACTGATAATCGATTAGATTTATCACTTGATACGTTAATAACAAGTGTATCACTCACATTAATTTACGCTGTTATTAAATAGGGGATGTATTAAAAACGAAACCGTGTCAGTGGTACTAGGACGGATATTTAATCTACTAAATTAACAGTATAATTCTTTTATATGCGTCTTATGTACAGTTATTTGTTACATAAATGTTTCACGGAGCACGTAACAAAGAAGATCACGATAATCCTTTTTCAAATGTCTAACTATATTTNGGACGGATATTTAATCTACTAAATTAACAGTATAATTCTTTTATATGCGTCTTATGTACAGTTATTTGTTACATGAATGTTTCACGGAGCACGTAACAAAGAAGATCACGATAATCCTTTTTAAAATGTCTAACTATATTTAGACTAGTTTTATATTATAATATATTATGTTTATATATTTATGTCAATGAACCCAAATTTAAGTATATTACATTTCAAAAATTTTTAATTTAGATAGAGTCTATCTAAATTAAAAATTATTGTCGTATTTTATATATGCACTAGACAACCTGTTACGTCATTGAATGGGTAAGTGGTTTCAAAAATAAAGCATGATATTTCTACTTGGTAATTTTTACTAATTGGGGAATGCTGATAGGGACCCACTATGTTAAATAAATTAACACTATTTTTCTCATCACTTATTCAGAGAATCTCACAGATCTGTATTTTAGGGCTTTTATAATTTTTTTTTTTTAATAAAAATAATTTTATTTACTCATCAACTTAGGCATACCGCATAAGCTGGTTATGGGACTGAGTGTTGAGCTAGCGTAACCTACTACCCAACAATAACTTAAAGTCTTTTGATATTTTTCAATTTCAAGAGATTGTAGGTTATAGCTTCCTAATCCATAGTATAAGCCATTCCTAAGCAAGAACGTATAAATGTTATTTAAAAATTATTATACCAAATTTCATTATATTACATTAACTATTAAAAAATAAGGCATTTTTTAATTCAAATAATTATTCATAAAACATCGAATTTAATATATAGACGCATCTATTATATAAAATATACATATATATCTTTTTATACCTCAATTTTTTATCTAAGAATGTTAAGAACTCACATTTGATACAGAAATCTTTACGATTGTAAGCGTGACAACTCTCTGTGTAGTTCCAACACGGATTAAATTTTTTCGATACATTTCATATTTGATTTAAAAAAAACGATAGCACAGTGGAATAATAGTACGGTGTAGGCATGGTATAGTTGACAGTGCAATTTTTTTACATTTATTTCATAATAAATATTTTTAATAAGAATCATAGTAATAATTTATGTGTAATTCTCGGTGTATAAAAAGATGCTGCAATTTAATTATTCAGAAATCAATTAATTTTTTAATTATTGAAAAATAACGAAAAAAATCTAAATTTAAATGATATTCTAAAACATATCAAAGGACGAAATCATAGGTGAAATTAGGGATGACCGACTAAGACAAGACCTGACAAAATATTAAGTATCCTTTACGTATAATAATCGTAAAACTTGATCAGGAAGGATTACCACAAGAATAATATCACAAAATTGTTAAACTTAACTATGATAATGTAGAAATTTATACTATAATAATAAACACTAATAATAATGAAGAAAAATTTTTTTTTACTTAAAATTGCCATAACTTTTTTAAAAATAACCGACTCAATATAATTTTTTTTATATAGATGCATGATATCATTACCTTTCATTTAGTATATTTTTTTTTTTATATCTGACCCTTTACCTGCCCACAAGGGGGGATTTAAAATGACAACTTTTTCAACTTAAACTTTGAAAGTGTTCCGAAAAGTCTGACACTTTTATATATATCTTAAATTAAAGCTAATGTAATTTACTTTATTATGGGAAAAAAAAATTTCGGACTTTATTTTGTCTTCACGGTGAAAATGGCTACCGAATGCTATTATTGTGTGAATATTCTCGATTTTATTTTTTACATTTTTTCTTTATAATGCTGTAACATATTGAAAAGTGTATGGATCAACATAATTTTTTTATGAAAAATAATATTTTTTTATAATTCCTTTTTCATTTGAGATACTTTATCTTAATCAGGATATTTATAGGGAACTAGCAGATCATGTAGCTTTTGGAATAATACACCAATTTTTTAAAATTAAACACTATCTAAAGATTTGCATCGAAGCGGTTTATTTTGATAATGATTTTAATTACTGTCAGATATCATTATACTTGATCCAACTATGCCACGTCACCACTGTGTCGCGATCCCCCAGTGCTGGGTTTTTTACTTTATTTGTGTGTGCTAATACTAGACTATAACATTCCAAATTTTTTGGTAACATGTTGCTATATAAATAATTTCTAAAAAAAATGATTGTTAGTTTCTCCTGAATTAATAATGGATCGATTTAACTACCCTATTTGCACAATTAAAGGTGAAATATCAGTCTTAAAAAAAAGGTATTACACATATGTTTATATTTATATATTTTAAATTTTGATTACTTGCAACATTTGTAAGTATGTTATATTTAAATAGATATACATCAACTACACAAAATATAACTACAAAAATTATAATTATATCGTTTTTATTAGTTTTACATAAACTTGTCAATTATAAAAAAACATTTGAGAAATTATTTTTTTGCTGTCAGCAAATATACTATCATATTGATTTTGTGAAACTTTTCGTATTTATAAAATTTAATAAGATACATACAAATCACTACAATTCTATCCCTTAACGTCAAATTATCAATCTCTTTAAGAAATTGAAAGGATATAAATTAGTTTTAAATTTATCATTAGTTATAAAATAAATAACAAAATTTCGACCCTAATATACAGAAGTATAAGAATAATTATATTTTATAGAATAATTAGTGACAGGGGATAAAAAATTAGCTTTTTATACTGTTTAGGTAAACTTTGATCGATTATTTTATTTACTTAAATTATATAAGTAATCTTTTTTAAATATTTATTGTATGAAACATTAATTATGAACTATATCTTCAATTCAGAGTAAAATCATTCAATTACCATAAAACCATATAAAATGAAATCGAGGTATTGATAAACATTTTTATTGTCAATAACAAAAACAATGTAATAAGATATGATCAGATAAAGTATAATTTTTAATGAAAATGTAAAATTAATGAAAGCTGCTAACATACAAATATTTTATGTAATAATTCAGTCTATATTTTAATTAAAAACACCCTTATAATTTTTCATAATTCTCGTCAGCTAATTTAATAATTTATTACCACATATGAAATTTAATTTTTTTAATTTAATTCCAGATTATTACAAATATATAAATATAGATCAGCTATTTCTATATGCTTGTGTCTTATAACAATTTTCTTGAATTAATTTAAAAAATAATCGATATTTATTCGTTTCTCTATAGTAGTTATTTTTAGTTATTTATGATAAATGTATGAGTATGAATATTAATTGCTTAGCCTATTACATGACAAATGATAACATGTAATTTCAAAGAAGTTGTCGTGGACAAAGAATAAAAACATTATATTTACATAGACAATGTAATCGCTATTTTTATCGTCCGAGATAAACTATTTGAAGATAAATATTATTCATTCTCAAAATAAACTAAGTTCATACACGTGGATAATTTTTTTAATGGTATAAAATTTAATTTAGTTATAATAGAAAAGTTTTGTTGTAGAGAAACCTTTATTGCGAAAATAAAAAGTAATAATAAATATATATATATATATTGTCGTTCGACAAGATATATGAACTTCGCTGGTGTACTGTTAAATTACATACTTAAAAAAAGCAAAATTATAATATTTTTGACAGACAAAATGATTTTACACAGTATTTTTTCAGAAATGTTACTTAAAACGATTTTAATTGCCAAAAGTAAATTCATTTTTTTGTAGAACTTTATAATATGTTTATTTAAGGTATGATTTAAAACTTATGAATAATGAACCGTTACTGTTTAAATAACGATTGAAGTGAAAAATACATTTTTACTTACACTTAGGTAAACTAAAATGTATAATTTTAAATTGCAGGTATAAAAAAATTAATATAAGCCAAATATTAAATTTAACGTACGTATGTAGATTCAATTATTTTTCAATCTAAGAGAAGAATAACATTTTTAATCTGAGGAACTCTTTAATTAGTGAAATTAAAATTTTACAATTAAAGATTGATGAAATTAAAATTTTCTGTGCGTTAAAATAATTAAAGTACTCCAAATTACAATTAGACAGCAAAAAAAATTGTCCCCGACCATCGTGGATATATGATATATCATTTACATACTTGCAATCATATGGAATATTGATTATTGTATGCTCTGATATAGTAACAAAAGCAATAAGTTCGTCATGACATGCTGATTGACAGCTGAAGACAACAAAAGAAGAGTAGTTAAATAACATTTGCACAGCTGTCTCCCTAAAAGATGGTACCAGTTCATTTGATATAATGATATATTATGATTGATGCAGTATGATTTAAGCTTGTAGTCAAAAAAGGATCTACTAGTAAACACTTCTCTGCCATTCTGACAGACACTTTGAATTGTTTCAACCAATACGTTATTGATAACAAAGGCAAACAAAATAGTATATTTGTAAGTGAATTATCATTTTCTCTTTTCTAATCAAACTTTATAATCATCGACCACATGTAGTAGACTGTTAATAATAAACAAAAGATTACACGAATACACCTACTTAACATCCGGTTAAAATTTTTTGTTAACTTCCTTAAATTCTTTAATGAGTATTTTTTACTAGTATAAGGTTTCAATGCTAAATATTGTGAACACAATAATTTTTTAATGATAAAGCTACATATATGTATAAACAACAATGATCGTGACTTAATAGTAAAATAAAATCGCGGTGCCATTCGATCCAATGCCATTAACGCAAATTTAAAAAAAAACAACAAAACGCAATCGATAATATTTGACGAACCCGCTGACAGTTGAAGTTCAATCAACATTGATGATCAATAGCGTTAAACGATTGAACGAAAGACAAACTCATCAAATTAGTTTACCGCACTCAGTTGATATTAAAATATTATTCTATTAACAAATATATATTAACAAATTATTATTACTTTAATCGTATTGAATGTGTTGTAATCAATCTTATCTGTGTACATTCACAATTGATTGCTACTATTTACTTAATACTCATCAACGCCGTACGGACTTGCGCTAAAACCGAGACGACAGTCGTGTGAACGCGGCAGAATCGTCAGGTGGATCGGTCACAGCTAACATGACGTTGGAAACGGTGGAGGTACCTGATGGCGTTGCCCTAAAGTCAAAATTGCTGGCCATGCTGTTTTTGGGTGCATCGTCTATGATTTCCGGTAGCGTACCGGTTTGTATTTTCAACCGCATGATAAGAGGCAGCGGTCGGTCGCGGGTCAACGGTTCTCTGGTAGATGGTATTTTGCGAGTGGTGTTGAATTTTGGGGGTGGTGTGCTCTTGTGTACTACATTCTTACATTTACTACCCGAGGTCCGCGAAGGCGTCGAACAGTTGGCCGAATATGGGCTTCTCAATCCAGAACTACACACCACAGGACTTTTAGCCGAAATAATTATGTGTGTCGGTTTTTTCCTCATATATTCCATTGAAGAGCTAGTGCACACGTTTGCTCATAATCATCATCACGGTCATAGCTTGGAAGATATTGACACCGGTAACCGTGGTGTGTCCAATCACGGTTTCGAAAAGGACAACGAGAATACCAGCACCATCTCTAATTCCGGTAAAATGATTAATTACAACTCTTTCACACATACCAGCAATCACACTGAAAAAACAATAATTACTGAATCTAAAGAAGGAGCATCCATATACAGAGGACTTCTTATTGTTGGCGCACTCACTATCCATGAATTATTCGAAGGTTTGGCTGTAGGACTGGAGAAAAACCCCACACAGGTTAGTTTTAATTAATAAATTCTAGAAGATAATATTCTATTTTTCACATATTCGCTGTGGACGATTTTAACGTTTAATTGATAGACATAATATATTTATAACAAATGTTGACATATTTATATATAAATATCACTAATTGTATGTAAATTTAGCATGAAAATTAATTACAAATTTACAAATAAGTTTACACGAAATTCCAACGGGAATTATGGGACCATTTTTTACAGTACACTTATGTCATAGATCAACATACATACGATATATTGATAGTATGATTAACTTAACCAAGAGATATTTTTAGTAGGTTATATCAAACTAAAGTCGAATTACATATTGAAAAGGGGCACATCTCAAATACTACACTTTAATATATTTAACGATAACTTCTTTTTAAATGATATTTATTGTTTGTTATTATTACATATATTTTTACAATAAAATACTTAATTGAAAGATCATTATAGAGAATTAAATAGTACAGTAAGTAGGCAAAAAATTAAAGTTTAATTTTTAAAAAATATAAAGTGAAGAGTTATGAAACATGGGTTTAAAATAAAAAAATTATTTCTTGAGCTCAAAAATAACAAGTGTTGTTAAATAATTGCATTCACCAAAAAGTTTGATTTTTATTTTACTTGAATACTAAAAATTATAAATAAAAATTGTATTATTTAAACTTAATTAGGAATAAGTAAATTAATATAATTTTAAAATAATAGACAATGTTAGGTCTGGCTTTTTAATATCTAGATTTAGTGTATTTTATATTTATTGGAACCTTAAGTGAGTTAAAGTCACTCGAGATTTGTAAAATACAACGTTTATCGTTAAAACTAAAACATAAATTAACTGTAACAGTTTTTTTTATGAATAACATAATAGACAATAGTAAAGTTAGTGTACAGTTCTGATTTCGTAAAATTGACAGAAAATACAGAAGTAGGTAGACTTGACTGATTGTTGGATAGAGTTCGAGGACAAATACAAATTATGGGACACCAGATAAGATTAATTATAGATACTTCACACAATTTACATTGGATTATTATGTTGTGTAATTATTTCAATTGATATTTAAAAGAATGATGTACGAATAAATAAGTCGAAACCATTTATTCAGTTACACTCATTAACTAATAATTAAATAACAATAATTTTAATTATATTTTATTATGTGAGCGCCTTTCAACTTTTTTAAAATTGGAATAATAGCGTACATTTGTGTTGTATAGTAACCGTAATTATTTACTAAGCAACATTTTTTATCAAAAGTTAAATCATTATCAAATCAATTATAAAGAGTTTCTATCGGAATATATAAGAATTACCTTAGATTAACTAAAAAAATTTGAAGCTTATAAACTTTTTAAATCTTGAAGTTTAAGTAAATTACACCCTTAACAGCGACTTTAATACAACTATAGTAGTAATTCACACCTTATCATTACTTTTGTCGATAAAATTATGAATTATTTAAAACTAAGCACTAAATCAAAAAAACAAATGTATATAATTTCTCTTTTTAAAGTCGTAGTAATCACAATTATTCGTGTAGTTTACGTNTATAAAGAGTTTCTATCGGAATATATAAGAATTACCTTAGATTAACTAAAAAAATTTGAAGCTTATAAACTTTTTAAATCTTGAAGTTTAAGTAAATTACACCCTTAACATTTTAATTTTAAATGTAAGATATGTAAAGTTTTATGACAGATTTTATTATTAAGTAAAAAGTGTAAATTTTAGGATTTCTCATCAAAATATTACGAGTAAAATTTCATAATATTTAATTTATATTGATACAAATTTTAAGTAATTTATAACAATTACATTTTAATTAAATTAAAAATGTTTTATAGTATACGTTTATATATTAATTGTTTTATCAAGTAGCCTGCAGCGCTTATTAACCGAATTTGTACATTCTTTAATTAATAGACAAGTACTAAATGTATACTCATTCATTTCGAATAAAATAAAAATAGTGATATTATCTTAAGTAGTTGGAAAACGACTTGCTTAATATTTGCTCGCTAAAAAAAAAAATTATATTACACCGAGTAAAAATTTTTCTAGGATGTATAATGAATTATTAAGTGTTACAGCCAAAGTATTTTATCTGAGTGTACACATAAAACAGTTATTTATCTTTGTAGCAATTTATTTTATCAGCACACGTGTTAATTATTAGTGTGAAAAAAAATTTTTTCAGAAGTTTTTTGTTACAAATTTTTTCCTATACAATATGGTCTCTATTAATGATCAAATCATATGAATCTCAATCTTAAGATTAACTAACTATTCTTCAAATGATATTTGAAACACAGACCACAACTTTAAAACTTTTTTTAAATTTTAATTACTACATTAAATTAATGATTTTAAAAATTTAATGTCATTAATATTTGTTCAAATATATTTATAATTTAATTATTCTGTACTGGTAATATGCACACAGAATAAATGTGTTAACATTATAGGATTTGACTAAAAATAAATGCATAATTAATTGGAACTTATAAATTTACTTTATATATTAGTTGTAATCATAACTTCATCTCAAATTTCTTTTTACAGGTATGGTCACTTACAATAGCTGTAGCTTGTCATAAAATCGTCATTGCGTTTTACGTAGGTTTACAGATTATCTCTGACAAAACCAAACCATGGTTGGCTCACTGTATGGTGCTCGTGTTCGCCATCGCTTCTCCAATCGGGATAGGTTTTGGAGCTATAGTTTCTAATCTCGATGAGACAGCAGGAGTGGTCATTATGTCCGTATCCTTACAAGGATTAGCTACGGGTACTTTAACCTATGTGGTATTTTTTGAAGTCCTCAAACCGTCTCCGAAACACCTACAAATCGGCCCTAGATTAGTGAAATTGATCTCGATCGCTTTTGGATTTTTCATTATGATGTGTGTACAACTTAATCTGTCAGATTAATTTAAACAATTTATAATGGATTATTGAACTGAGTCTAAATGCTAACATTTTTACGCGTTATTTATTCATTTAATTACTCATATGAATAATTTCACACAAACGAAAAAAAGTAGAAGTAAAAAAACGAATAAAAATGAAGAGCTATGACTATTTTGAAAATTTAATAGACAATAATATGAAACGTGATAAAAATGTATATATTATTTTAATATACAAAGTTATGTGTATGTATAAAGTTGATAACATTTGGATTAAAAAAAATGATGAAACTATAGCTACAGAAAATCGACTTCATTATTTCTATTGATAAAAATACTTTCTTATTGTTTAACTGTTAGATTTTAAAACTATTAAAAGAGATAAGTTTAAATTTACTTTTTCAATGACTTATATATATACATTATTCATCAAAAATAATTATCCTCGAACTTTACCTAAGAAAATATTTGTAAAATGATTGTTATCTCAATAATGAAGTACCAATCCACATATTTAGCAATAATTTCACAATTGCTTATCAGACGTCTTCGTTTATATAATATATTATCAAACGGTCTATTATACTTCGTTATCATATTGAAATGTTGATGTAATTATTTTCCAAAAATGCTATTATTTTTTCAAAAAGGGTTGATTCATGTTTTGATTTGAGACAAGTTTGAATTAGACATTAAAATTCAGAGATAAACGTTTTCAGCAGATCTCTTTTATTAAACTTATATATCTTTTTTTTTTTTTTAATTTTTATTTTGTTTTTCAAATAAAAAAACGAAGACGAAAAAAATTTATGTGACATTCGAAATTGTAAAACTCTAAACTATTATCAATTTTAGCTTTGATACAAGTTAAAATCTTGTAATTAAACTTGTCTAGTGCGTGTATAAAATATGTAGCATTTAATATTATAATTAACTGTATAGTATTGCAATATTATAACGTGTACCAAAATTAATTATGCAAATTATTAATACTTTTTAAATTTAATTAGTTTAAAATATATGAAAATGATAATTTTGTATGTTGATTAACTTATATAGTAAATATACGATCTTAGATTCAAATTGTAGCGATAATTTTTCTCTTTATGTTGAATATTGACTATTTAATTATATATTTTTGTAAAATAAATTATCTGTTTTAAATTAAAAAAATATGCAAATACATACTTATTTTTTAACACTTGAAAATATCAATGAGCATTAAACAAAAATTCTAAGTACCTACACTTACGGCCACGACACACTATGACGGTTGCGCCTTACGGTCGTCAGCGTACGGCTGTACCATTGATCAAGAATATGCATGTTTAAGTCAAGCGCGTCATACCAAACGGTATCGCTGTTATCGACTGCTCGGTACGTCTCAAAACGGTCGCGTGTCACGGTTTGACGGCACTGCCATTTATATTGAAAACACATGGTTTCTTATCACCACCATCACACGTGGACGGTTCAATCATACGGTTTTGAGAGTTGTAATAGTTCGCAAATTGTTTTGCATATTTATTTTGTATTTTTATTGTAATAAATCACTTAAATAGAAGTCTTAGTAATCATTTCTATGGAACTCTTGGTGTTTAAATAATTATTTATACTGATATACTGCACATAATACATTCTGCTTGTTACATATTTTTTTTATTAAAATATATTTTTTGATTATTCATACGTAACCTAATATTCAAACATAAATATTTGTTATATTAATTAGAAGGATTTTGTTATTATTTAGTCCGTAAGCAAAACTTTAATTGCAGATTTGAAATCGGCGCAAAAATGGGTTTAGAAAAGTATATTTTGGTCTCCCATGAAAATTCCTTTTCAAACGTAAGTTGTATGTGTATAATTATTTGCATATTTTGTACAAATGATTAACATAAATAAGATTTTTTTCTATATTTACATATTAGATAATTTTCGATTTAAACTATAATTAAAGTCGCGTTTCATATATATATACACATTGAGGTATTTATAACAATTAAAAATTTATCCTCATAAAAATAACTTTGGTTAAATTTTTGTAATAGTTAAGGTTAGGTTATTTACTCTTAATTGGCTATAACCCTGATAGAGTTATGTTCATAACTGAAAAACTTATAATAAGGAGGGTTTTTTAGATAGCAGTGTCCATCCCATAAATATATACTGAGTTGTGAATATTTATGCTATCGTTGTGTTACATCGAGTTGTTTCGGTCTTCTCTCTATGTCTGTATTGTTTCTGCCATCTTAGCGCATTTTCAGCTATAAGTTCTATGACGCTTGGGGGTCAGTAGGCCAGTGAATAAAAGAAAAATTGCGGAAAAAATACCCAACCAATTTTTAATTTATTAAGTTCAATTAAGATATGTATAATAACATACTAAAAGACCCCATCAATTGTACTTGAGCTTTTTTGTATAGCCTTGCAAAAGTTCTAAATTATAAGTTATTTAAATTTTTAATTTAACTTACAAAATAAATTTCGCGTATAAGTTGTTTAAAATTGTATTTTAAACAACAATTTTTTTAAACAAAAAACTTTTTTAAACAATGGGTTTAAAAAAGGTATCTTCTATTTTTTTATTTAAACAAATATTTTTTGAGTTACATTACATATAATATGAGTACTAAAATTTATTTTCCATTTTACGGTTAATGTTTAACATGTCATACTTACATTAAACACAATGTTATAAATGCATATGTGTGTATGTGTGAATTTATTTATTTATAGTATCATTATAGTGAAGTGTGTATTAAGATACAACCGGTGGCAATGACATAATATAATTGTTGTTTAGGAATGTACAATTTAGCGTTTGGTTGGATTAAAACAATATAACGTCAAATCAATTACCTACTCTATCGGTTGTATCTTAATATATACGACACTATAATGATACTTTAAATAAAAAACGGTAGCACAGTGGGGTCGAGGCACAGTATGGACGAGGCATAGGTGGCATAAGTATAGATGATATCTGACAGTGATTAAAATCACTATCATAAGAAACGCTTCGATGCAAATCTGTAGATAGTGTTTCCTTTAGAGAAATTGGTGAAATATTTTAAAAGCAACATCAACTCTTATTTCTTTAATTATATCCTGATTAGTAGTTCTTTGATTTTAAAATATAATATATGAATAAATACTAATAATAATTTTTACATTTAGTATGAAATTGTGAGGCCAGCTTTGATGTATGGTTCATAGTGTTGGGCGGTTGATAAGAAAGTAGAGCAGAGAATAAGTGTAGCAGAGATGAGAATGCTTAGTTGGATGAGTGGAGTGACTAGAGAAGATAGGATAAGGAACGAGCATATAAGAGGAAGTATTTAGGTTGTTTAGTCATGTTATGAGGAGAGAAGAATCGGAAGCTGTAAGAATAGTTATAGATATGAATGTTGAAGGAAGAAGAGATAGAGGAAGACCAAAAAAGAGATGGAGGGATGCTATTGAATGCGATTTGATGACAGCTGATGTGAGCGTAGAAGATGTGGGAGATCGTGTCAAGTGGAAGCTTAGGTTAAGGGTGACCGATCCCAAGTAGTTGGGATTAAGGCAAAGAAAAAGAAAATTCCGGTGGCAATTGACATAATATGATTGTTGTTTCGGAATGTACAATTTAGCGTTTAGTTGGGTTTAAATAATATAGCGTCAAATCAATTACCTACTCTATCGCTTGTATATTAATATACACTACACTTTAATGATACAATAAATAAATAAACTCACACATACACACATATGCATTTATAACATTGTGTCTAATGTAACTATAACATGATAAAAAGTAACCGTAAAATGAAAAAAATGGAATATAAATTTTAGTACTCATATTAAGTGTAATGTAACTCGAAAAATATTTGTTTAAATGAAAAAATATAAGATAACTTTTTTGTTTATAATTGTCTTTTAAACAACTTTTGTGCGAAACTTTTTTTTGTAATTTAAATATTTTTTGAGAAAATTAAAAAAGCTCATATTTTTTAACTTTTGCGAGGCTGTAAAAAAAAAATCTCAATTCCAATCAATGAGGACTATTAGTATGTCATTATACATATTTTAATTCAACTTTAAAAAAAAAAAATTTGGTTGGGAATTTTTTCTGTTATTCTCAGGCCTAGATGTCAATTTTAAACTTGTAATTGAGCTAAAAGTTATGGTAATATATTCAATTTATTTTACTATAAACTTTCATAAATCTTTATCAAAAATTTTTCATCAACTTTAAAGAACCAAAAAAATAGGTTAAAATTGAAAATTTGGACTGATTATTTTTAACATATTAAAAATCAAATCAGTAATAATTTGAAAACAAATTTTTTTTTCTTTTAATTATTATTTTATATATATAATTAGTAATAATATAAAAAATTAGAAGTGATAGAAATAGTCTACTTGCAGATTTGAAAACAACGCGAAAAGTTGATTTAGAAAAGTATATTTTTGCTTCTGATGAAAGTTCCTTGTAGTCCAGTGCATTTTTTTATAGTAACAAACAGTTTTTATTGAAAATTATTGTATCAAGCCCTTTAAATTTTTATACACGTAAAAGTAAAGCAAAATATAACTTCTTTATTATTTTTATAATTTCTCCGTTTAAATTACAATATTAAATATCAATTTCATACTAAATTTAATAATTATAATTAGTATATATTCATATATTATATTTTAAAATCAAAGAACTACTAATCATGATATAATTAAAGAAATAAGAGTTGATGTTGCTTTTGAAATAATCCACTAATTGCCTATTTATAAAAAAAAAAAAAAATTGGTTGGGAATTTTTTCTGCTATTCTCCAAAATTACTCCTTCGTTGACTAGAATGAATCATTAAATAGAAAATTTTATTAGAATTAAAACAATGTTATTTTTAAGATTAATATGCAGTCAGGAAATTTTATAATTACTATTTACAGTATATTTATCAGAAAAACTCATTATTTTTTGCATTTTTATTGTAATAGAACACTTAAATAGAAATCATAGTAATCATTTCTCAGTAACTTTTGGTATTTAAAAAGATTCTACAATTGAAATATCCAGAACTGAATTAATTTTAATGATTTACTTTAACTAAAAAAAAAAAGTTATTATGTTGAATCCCTCTTAAGGGGAAGGTAAAGGGATAGATTTATAAAAAACTAACCAAATGATAGATAAAGACATGCATCTAAATAAAAAAAAAAATTATACTGATTTGGTCATTTTTGATAAAGTTTAACAGTTAACAAAGTTATAAGTTTTATACACTGTACTACAAGGAACTTTCATCAGAAACAAAAATATAATATTCTAAATCAACATTTCGCGATGTTTTCAAATGTGCAATTAGACTATTTCTATCCCTTCTAAGTTTTAATATTATTAAAAAATAGTATTTACATATAAAAAAAAATAATTAAGAACAAAAAAAATTGTTTTAAATTAATACTGATTTTGATTATTAATATGTTAAAAATAAGGAAAATGACATATTTAACCTATTTTTAAATCTTTTAAAGTTGATTTTTGTGAAAGTTTATAGTAAAAAAAATTAATTTATTACCATAACTATTAGCTCAATTTGCAAGTTTGACATTGACATCATTAAATAGAAAATTTTATGACAATTAAAAAAATTGTGTCGTTAAGATCAATATGCAGTCAGAAAGTTTTACAATAACTATTTATAGTAAATTTATCAGAGTAACAAATATTTTTTTGCATTTTTATGGTAATAGATAACTTAAATAAAAGTAATAGTAATAATTTCCTAGGAACTTTTGTTGTTTGTTGAAAAGATTCTATAATTGAAATATTGAGAACTTAATTAATTTTAATGATTTACTTTAACTAAA